AAGTAAGTAAATGTGTTTTCAATGTTTTCGAAATTTGAAAACTGAAAATGATTTGAAAATAATAAAGAGAACATGCCTTTAACAATTCTCCTTGTCACATTCAAGGCGGATACATACCCTTTTTTAATAATTATAATCTTTAAGCGAATAAATAAAATTATCCATCTTAAAGAGAAAATTCTTTTAGTTGGGAGAGTAAGGGAGAAGCTCAAGATTTCATTTATCTCAATCTCTTCTACGAGTTCTAGTATCTTGTCGAAGAGCAAAGGAATAATCCAAATTTTTCAGAGGAACAATTTTTCATAAAGTTTGTGTGCTCACAACGTAAGCAAGTTCCAAGAGATTATAGAATCTACCAAAGCATCTCGATAGCATTATTCGGAGTAGAAATTGCTGGTATCTTCTGAAAACATGGTTTGCGAAAGTATCTTCTCTTACAATGAAAGCACAACCCACTCAGGTTGCTAATCTCAAACATAACTTGAGATTTGGTTTTCTTGGAATGGTCCAAAAGCTTATATATAAATGATGAAGTAACCCACTCAATGAGAGTAATATTATTCATCTCCACTGGAGTTACAAACACAGATTAGATGGCGTTAATGTAGCATTAAATGATAAGTAAAATTAAATAACATTACTCAATGATGAACCGAAATTTAGCCTTCCAAATCGGCTCAACTTACTTTAAGCGTTACACTTAGCCCCTGTTTGGGCTCTATTTTTCCAAATTATGATGAGCGGAATAGTAATTTTTTAGAGAATGTGTGGTTAAAAAGAAGATATTATTTTATTGAAAAATGTGGAGTTGATAAGAAGAGACAAAAAATTGAATTTTTATTTAATGGGGTCAAACACAAGCTTAGTACATACTACTATTTAATTATGGATAAAGCTTAACCATATATATATGGTTAAACTTCAACCAAATCCCAAGTGCATGAATTCTTTTCATAACAATCCACTAATCCAAGAATGTCCACTTCTTGATGGAATATGAATAAGAATATATTCTATCTTAATTCTTTACATTGGCGTAATAGAATATGTACTCTAATGAAAATACTAATCCTACCAAATATTCTCATCCAAAATCCATATCTTTTTTCAAACTAGGAGTAAGTGGAAATATACCCAGCATATATATTGTTCATACCACTTATGTTAAATTATTATGCACCCAAATAAGAACACTAGCCAAAAGTGGAGCCGGAGGCCAACGCGTATTGCATCACACATAATTAATTTAAATGGAGAATAAGTTCCATATCACTTAGAAAATATAAGGGTTTAGACCACATTTCCATAATAATATAATTTTTTTTAAATGAAATTTTAAGACTCAATATATTAATATTCAAAAAGATGAAACAAGGAGTTGGATTTATTAAGGGATAAAATCTCACATCGAATAAAGATGAAAAGATATACCAATTTACAAGGGTTTGGATTAAAGGAAATTACACTGAGCCTTGGTTTTAGTTTTCCATTTTCACAAATCACCTCACAAGTTTAACTTTTCAAAAATCAGGTTTTTTATATTTAATTTAATATTAATGATATAATTTTCATCCAAATTAAAATAACTCAAATCAACCCTAAAATTCATTCCATCTCATCCCCGTCTCTGTGCTTGGACCACCGCCCAACCAGTTCTCTCTCTACCCCTCCTCTCTCGTCGCCGTCTACCTCGCCACCGCCCCGATCTGAAGCGGCGATTGAAACGCCGTCAACTAACCCTACCTCCCATCCCACCTCATTTCTCCCCAAATCCCTTCATTGTCAGGTGGTGCAACCGCAACCACCAGCAGAGCTTTCAAAGGAATCTGTCGCGGCGATTTAAGGCAAGTTGTGATTTGAGGTATTCTTCCAATGAAGGTGCAGGAGCTCAAATGGTGAATGCTGGATCATCAGATCTCCAGAGGGAATTTCCCAATGAATGGAATCGATTTTCATCTCCTCCCAGTTCTGCATCATTTCCTGCAGATTTGAGATTTGCAGATAGGTCTAATCTGTTGTTATTTCCTGAATGGGTTCTGATTTGAGGCAGGTTGTAGTGGTGGATGAGGTGGGTAGGAGGCGGAGATAGGAGTTTTCCATGGCGGATTTGGGCAATTGAAGGATGTTTCCTTCTTTGTATTGGGATTCGGTATGTCGCAGATCTGTGGTTTCTTTCCCTTTTTTTTTCTTTTTTTTTTTTAGTTTTTGAGTTTGCTATAGCGGATCTGGCGATGGTTTTGTTGTTGTTCCGTGTTTTTGGGTTTTACACTGATTTGTGGATCTGTAATTTTACGGTTCGTGATTGTGCAGTGTTGGTGATTGTGGATCTGTGGGTTTGTGGTTGGTGGTGGATGTGGTTTTTGGAGGGTTTTTTTTATGTTGAGTGGTGAGACATAAAAATCTAACTGTGACCTTAAAATTGTGACTAAAAATTAATTTGTGACCAATAAATTTGAAAATATATGACTGATAGATAACTGTGACCCGTCATTTTTAGATCTGTGACCAATAAAATAATATTTAACTTATAAAACTATTGATTTATGACCTCGAAATAGTTAGTGACCCACAAATTTTTTGATGTGACCGATAAAAAAACTGTGACATAGAACATTTGTGATTTGTGACCGAAGAAAATATGTGACCTATCAATTTGTGATCGANAGGGAATTTCCCAATGAATGGAATCGATTTTCATCTCCTCCCAGTTCTGCATCATTTCCTGCAGATCTGAGATTTGCAGATAGGTCTAATCTGTTGTTATTTCCTGAATGGGTTCTGATTTGAGGCAGGTTGTAGTGGTGGATGAGGTGGGTAGGAGGCGGAGATAGGAGTTTTCCATGGTGGATTTGGGCAATTGAAGGATGTTTCCTTCTTTGTATTGGGATTCGGTATGTCGCAAGTCTGTGGTTTCTTCCCTTTTTTTTTTTTAGTTTTTGAGTTTGCTATAGCGGATCTGGCGATGGTTTTGTTGTTGTTTCGTGTTTTGGGGTTTTACACTGATTTGTGGATCTGTAATTTTGCGGTTGGTGATTGTGCAGTGTTGGTGATTGTGGATTTGTGGGTTTGTGGTTGGTGGTGGAGGTGGTTTTTGGAGGGTTTTTTTTATGTTGATGATGGATATTGGCGACGGTGAGGTGGTTTTGAGGTGGATCTGGCGCAGTTGGCGAATCTGGTGGTTATCTGCAGTAGTTACGATCTGGCCGTGAATTATTGGTGTGGTTGGCAGCCGCTAGCGGTAGGGTGGTCACAAAAGTCGATGGTGGTCACACAAAAAATCTAACTGTGACCTTAAAATTGTGACTAAAAATTAATTTGTGACTAATAAATTTGAAAATATATGACTGATAGATAACTGTGACCCATAATTTTTAGATCTGTGACCAATAAAATAATATTTAACCTATAAAACTATTGATTTATGATCTCGAAATAGTTAGTGACCCACAAATTTTTTGATGTGACCGATAAAAAAATAGTGACATAGAACATTTGTGATTTGTGACCGAAGAAAATATGTGACCTATCAATTTGTGATCAATGAACAAATTGTGACCTACAAAATTTTTGAAATGTAATCGTAAAATAATTTGTGACATGAAAATTCTAATTTGTGATCGAAAATTAATATGTGATTAGTTAAATAGTGAATCTGAGACCAAATTTTAAAGCTGGAAGGGTCACCGGAATAATTGTCGGAATCGGAACGATCGCTGAAGAAGAGTGGTCGACGGAATAGTCGTCGGAACGGTAGTGGGGTAATTATATTATATTAGAATTAAATATTTAATAATAAATTAATTTAATAATTCATAAATTAAAAATTAAAAATTAAAAAACCTGATTTATGAAATTTGAAACTTGTTTTTGTATTTTTGAAAAAGTGTAAAGTAAAAACCTTATAAATGTATTGTTTCTTTTGGATTACTTCTCTTAATAAGATTGACATTTTAATATAGAACTCCAAATCTTAAAATGGTATCATTGCCCGTTAAGCTCCAACGAGCGATTCGATTAAAACTCAAAAAAATTGAGCACACGGATTTCAAGATTGATCTTCTCAAACGAGTCATCATCTTGCTGGGGCATATTAAGGGATAAAATCTCACATCGAATAAAAATAAAAAGATAAATCAATTTTTAAGAGTTTGGATTACTCTTCTTAATAATGTTGACATTTTAAGATGAAATCTCAAATCTTAATATGATTAATATTTTCAGATGAGTCGTCATCTCACAAATATAAAAAATAATATTAAGAGTTTAAACTACTCTTCTTAATTAACATCAGATAATACTTTTAAAATTGTTACAACACAACACATAATTATGTAATTTAAAGTGAGAATCTTTCTCACACTTCACTCAATACAAAAAAAATACCTCCAGCTTTTTTTCTTCCTCGTGTTATGTCATGATACGTGTTAGTCGGTTAAACTATAGAGAAAGCAACTAAATAATAGGGACATAAGAAATTCTCCCACAAAGTGACCAAAAAAAAAAAAATGTTCACACTGTCAGCAACTACATGGTATAATTGTCTTTCATAATTATTCCCATTTTCGCACTTTCCATTAGTATAAATAGCCCCTCAGTGGCTCATAATCAATGTATTCAAAACAGTCTATCTTCAGCCTTTTATAAGGTAATTATAATCATGTTTTAACTTATTTTAGCCATCTCTATGTATTTTATTATATTTTCGAAGTTTTTCTGCATATGTATTATTCCAAAGTTTAATGCATAGATTTCTTCATGGCAATTGGCATATACTAAATTCCATAGAAATCCGAGGTTAAAAAAAGGTGTATTCTAAGTCGAGATTGATAGCTATTGAACAAAATTATCAGAACTTCGAAATATCATTAATTAAATTTGAAGTATACTTTCTTAGATCTCATTTTTGTTTCCTTTATGTTGTACTGACTTTAGTTCAAAAGAAGAAGAAGATTTTGGTTTCTTCAACTGAAATGGAAGCTGTTGGAAGGTCCAGTGGAGCCATGTTTGAGTGCTTACTTTTTGGTATGTTATTCTTAGTTCAAAAAATAAATAAACATAAACAAAACATTTAAGGGTTGAATTTTAATGTAATATTGAGTTTGTTTCTCTCTTAGATATGGATGATACATTGTACCCCTTGAGCTTAGGTATCAACCTGGCTTGTCGCAGGAATATAGAAGGTAACAACTCTTGTCAATGATTGTACTTAGTAATTTTATGGAACTTCTTATGTTATTTTGTTGATTATCACTTTATTTTTATTTTTTTTTTAGAATTTATGTTGCACCACTTGCATATTGAAGAAAGTGAAGTCCCAAGAATGTGCTTGGAGTTGTATAGAGAATATGGGACGACAATGGCTGGTCTTAAGGTAAGATTAACATCGTTTTCTACATGTCGTTATGGTTAAATAATTCACTATTTGGATAATCCAAACGCTAAGGAGTGCATTTAGCACTAGTTTAAGTGGCAGCAACGATCGACCTAAACTTGTCTACTGAATTAAAAAATACATCTTTAATGCATTGTATAAGTTTAAGTGGATTCCACATCCACTTAAACTGGTGCTAAATATCATAGGTGCTAAATATCATTAGTCCATGCTAATAGTAGTATTGGCGTTAAATGTCACGAATGCTAGATAACATTATTCCATGCTACGAGTAGTCTCGACAAAAGTATGATGGATGATCAAACAAAATTTTTGAAGTTACGAATAAGTTTTAGAATTAATATTTTGGTATGCTACACTATTTTTTTGCAGAATATAGGCTACGGTGAATAGAATTTTCTTGAAATTGAAAATATGCCAAATAGAATTATAGGAACTAGATATTGACGAATGTAACCTGAGATGACAATTGAATCAAGTACCTCAAGAGTTAAACTTCGAGTCCTTGTTAATTTTCTTACACAGTAGAAAATATATTTTCTCCTCAAAGATTCAACTGTCAAGGTAAAAAATAACGTGAACCTAGCTAGTAATGACATGTGTGGTTCACAATTCTCTATGGGATAATGTCGTTTGTACACTAATTTCTTACATCATTGTTGACATTTGCATTGTTATCAACAAATAATTGGATTAAAAAACTATTATTTTTTAAACTGGCCAATTAGATAATGCCACTTGGCAAAGTGTAAACAATGATGTATGATGTACACCAAACACGATCCTTCTCTATATCTTTAGCATACACCTACTCCATGTACTAAAGTTAGTCTTTAATACTAATACCCATTTGTGCACTTCTTGCAGGCACTTGGCTATGAATTTGATAACGACGAGTTTCATGCTTTTGTCCATGGACGATTGCCATATGAGTTGCTAAAACCTGATCCAGTACTGCGCAATCTCCTACTTTCCATGCCCCAACAAAAAATAGTACGTCAAAAGCGTAGACGAGTCATATTTCAGAAACTATTATAACAATTGTTATTCTCATTGTGTCCTCTCTTTTTTTTTTTTTTTTGTGAATTTAGATCTTCACTAATGGTGATGAAGCACATGCAGCTCAAGTTTTGAGTAGGTTGGGTTTGGAAGATTGTTTTCATGGTGTAATATGCTTTGAAACACTTAACCCTCCTATGGGACTGGGATCTTTTTCAACCACAGATGGAATGGATGAAGGACAGACTGAGAATGTTCAAACACAAATTCTGTGTAAACCTTCTGTACAAGCAATGGAAGCTGCCATTGCCCTTACAAATGTTGATCCCAAAAAAACAGTAATTACTGAAAACTTATCTACTAAATGAACTTAGTATTTGCCTTTTGTCATGGCGGCATGTTTAGAATGGTGGACGGGATAATACCACATGAAGGATAAACTGAGCATGTTTGCTAAGCTGATAAAGCACATGTTTGATGTAGATTAAAATCAAATTTTCAGTATATTTTGATAAAAGTAGATGAAATATGTTGGTGAAAAATTATGAGTCCCATAAGACACATAGTTAAAAGTAATTGTTAACTTTGATTTGAGATTTTAATTTACACCAAACATGGGCAAAAGGTAAAAGTTGCACAATTTGAAAAATAAGTTTTTTAACTTTAGTCTCAAAATGATTTTTTCTAACAAAGAAAGCTCAAACATGTTAGCCAACATGCAATGTATTGTTTGGTATTGCGTGTGAAACATGTCGTTATAGTAAATGAAAGTTCATTCATTTTTTTTCTTCTCTCTTTCAGCTTTTCTTTGATGACAGCGTTCGCAACATTGCCAGTGGAAAAGCTGCTGGACTTCAAACCGTCATTGTGAGTCCATGAATATCCTAATGTCAAATCAATCAATTTTTCTGACCTATTCTAATGCAATTTATTATGAAATGCAGGTGGGGAGAGAAACTCTGGTGCCAGGAGCAGATTATGCTCTAAGTAGCATCCATAATATTAGAGAAGCACTGCCTGAGATATGGGAAGAAGAAGAAGAGCATTTGGAGCCAATTATCCAACCTGCTGCAGTAGAAACTGTAGTCCTAGCATAGACCAGACCACACCACATCTGCTTATAGATTCATAGTTTACGGAAGAAAGTTTCATTTGATATGTACGAGTAGGTTTATGGAAGAAGTCGACCACTTGCAAAGAATCGGGAAGTACTGTAAAGGGTCGGTCATACTTGTTATTTATAATTAAGCAAAAATAAGATTTCAGTAATTTAACTCTCTCACATTTGCAACAAACTTTTAGAATGTTTGACTGAGACTTAGACCAGCAACAGTTAGCCAAAAACAGGAAGAATCAAAATGTTAGCATGTTGCATACCTGAATCTAAGATGTCTAGAAAGAAGGATATTATACTAACATTGTGAGACTGTATAACAACTAGAGTAAAAATAGCTAGAATTTTGACATCAACTGAAGAAAAGCTTTCAAATTCATCCTTCTAACACGAGGCTGGGATGGAAAAATCAGTAAGTTACATTTCATCAATCATCAGTTCCATAGTAAAAACAGAAAAGGGAAAGATATGTTTTCTTGATCAGGGATGTAAACAGGTGGATAAGTAATCCAGAGTTTAGTGGAATCCCCAGGGAAATTAAACTTCAGTAAAGGGATTTGATTCCAGCAAAATGCTTAAATATGATTTGTAGAATTCCGACTTGGGGAAGGGAATCTAAAAAGTTAAATGGAAAGAGCATCTCTAAGGCATCAAAGCCATTACAAGATGAATGTATGTTCTTCCCTTGAATGCCAACATGAATCAGGATAATACCAATCGCACTTGCAATCAATTGTAATCAAATGAATAAAAAACTACATTCATTCGATAGGTAAGTGACTCAAAACATTACAGTTCAACATAACGAGAAAATGTGTGTGTTGGCATAATCTTTTACATTCAATGCTTCTGCATTAAGCACTTCATTCTCAGTAAGTGCAAACCAGCTTTACGGTTAGCCTTTAACTATTTAGATGGTCTAATTTCAACATATTCATTATTCCTATATTCAAAACGAGAATGCAGAAGTCACTGACAGCAAAGGTTTCAAACCTAAATCCTACTGCCAAAATATTTTTGACTTTTAGATCCATAACAGCAGGATATATCATTTCCATTTGACAGAAATAAAAGAAAACAAACTCATCACAGATATACAGTCTACAAAATCCAATTAATAGAAATGTTATTTTCGCAAGGATAACCCGGTGAGATGCTGAAAACAGTCTTATCCAAGCAAGGGACCTGCACAGATTTTAGTTCACACTGACATGAAAAGGTGCAATGTGTTTATTGTACCAAAATTTATCAACTTAAATCAGTCCATTAGTGTTCCTCTTCTTTGTAACTAGTATCGAAACTTACCTTCAGCTTCCACCATGAATATTCTGAAATAGGTATTTAGCATTCTGCAGAAGAGTATCAATCTCTTCATTTGCAGCATCAAGCAAGCGCACTTCTTGGATTTCCTCCTGCAATTTTTCCATCTGCTCCTTGTGTATTCTGCCAATAGTTAAGTGTCACAGTGTGTGTCAAAACCTCATCCTCCGTAATTACAAGGGCAGTTACTTCTTTTAAATCACTCACAAAATCACCCGCTCTTCAAATTCATTGCTCAATTCCTTCAGCATTGCCTTCCCTGATTCCAGCAACTCGGACACCTTCATGATATTACAATAAGATTCATGCATACAGGAAAATATATTGCAGAAAAATTACTTCCTAATAGAATTTAGAAGATTTAAGCAAGGTATTTTCTCTACTCTGAAAGCAGAGGTCTTTCTTATATGAATTCATGACAAGACAATGAGTCCAAGTATTAAGGACTTTACCAGCTGAGTAAAGCGATCAATCTTCTCCAGAATTTGAGCAATCTCCATCTCCATCTGTTCGGAATGCAAAGTGCCTGGCTCACTTTCTTCTCCTGAAACCTTTACAGGAGTTCCATCTTCCACTGCTGTTTCCTTCTCCTCAACCTAATAATTGAAGTTTAGGTCATTAGAGAACTGAAAGTGAATTTATATTCTCTAATTTAATTCTTAATTCTTTGAAACAGAGAAAGCGGAGAAACATACAGAAGGTTTCAAGCGTTTTGCCATGCCAGTGGTCCCTATTGTTTCCATTTAGGATGATATTTGTGAAAACTGGAGCAAGGTTGTAGATATATGAAATCTCAGAATTCACAAATTTGAAGCCCCAAAAATAATACTTAAGTGTGGACTGCTGTTAAATATTTGCGCATCTTATTGGTATTCAGATGTTAGCAATTTCTACCATTGCATTTGATAAGCATTTTTACACTATAAAATTGCAGCATATTAACTCCTGTACACTATGATACTATCACCATGCAATGCGAAATTAAAAAACAACCATGTAGGAATAAACAACGTCCACCTGCAAAAGAAGATAACAAAATATTGTCAAGTTACATCTAGCAAGCATGTCGTCAATCTACCATATGCTCCTTTGTCACAGTCAAGTGTCAAAACTATTGGCATTTATTAGATGGCCTTGTAAACTGTTCAACACTTCTCTCTAATCCATAATGACCAATCTAACAGTAACCAGCACAACACAACAACGTGAAGAAACAAAGCCTTATTTCCAATAAATTAACCAATCCGATAAATGCCGTGAATCACTAATCACCTCCATCTGACACTACCGATGTTATAATACACTACAGACGATTGTAACATAAAAAGGAGAATCAATTTACACAAGCGAAGCAATGTTACACAGAGAGATATAAAAGGTTAAACACTTGAATAAGAAGCTCCCCTTTTATATTATTGTGGCGAATGGTAGAAGTACTTTCACGAACAAAAAAGAATCATCCTCTCCTCACACACAGTTAGCTAATAGCAATTAAGGATCAATCAACTCAATGTAGACATTAGTTGAACAATGCCATATAGCACTCAATTAGAATTGTGTAATTCATAAATTAGTAAATTACCATATGAAAAACACCTACAAAATTACAATTAATCAGAGGCGGAGCCACCACTTCTAAAAGCAAGGGGAAAACCATAAACAGCCACATAAAAAAATCCAGAGAGACGTTGCTGAAAAAATCGCTGTTTCGTAATGAAGATTACCATCCATAAACAATCATTTTGAAAAAAAAAAAAAAAATCTAAGGACTAGAAGATGAGAATCTTAGATCGAGGATGTGTTGTAATTCGCAAAACTTTTTTTCACAGATAAGTCTGATATTACCTTCCTTCCAAGTTTGGTGATGAAGTAGTAGAAATCACGATAAATTGGCGCCAAGAGAAAACCTTTAACCAATTGTCCCCTCCTGTTGCTAACTTAAGCAGGCATGGGTTGTATAGTTTGGATATGCGAAGATGGGCTTTTAATGGGCCTTTACATGGAATTTTAGGATCCATACCTTTGTTTTTTGAATTTTACTACATATCAAGTACCAACTATTTATGAGAAAATTACCTAAAACCCTTATTTTCAAAATTAAAATTCAAAATTAAGGGGATGAAGTTTACATTTCAAAATTCAAGTGGTAATTATATTTTATAATTATAATTATTTAAACATTTTAATATTAATATTACAATTAATCAAATTCACCCAATTAGTCCCAAACCTAATCATTTTTTCCATATC